AGGGTTTTTAAATAACCCACCAGCCCCCATTTGGAAAACCCACAAAGGGGTACTCGGGTAGAGCTGCTAGAGTTGTGCAATAACGCGATTCCCACACCAAATCTTGCTGAAACGCTTCCTTTTTGTTATCATTAGTTCGCGCACGTTACATTGCTGCCTTCTACCGATTGAAATCCATTGAAGGTTCATTTTTTTCCTTTTTCTCAATTTTTGATATGTTTGTCACTTGGTATCCAAAAATTATTGCATTTTTGTAGTTTGCATGGTTATCGATTATGATCGATTAATTTTTAAAATTACTAATTGTAACCCTAACCCTAACCCCAACCCTAACTGTTATGTTTTTGATTTCTGATTTATTTTTCAGTTTCATAGTGTGACGCAGTGGCTTCTAGACGCGTTTCAAAGATGCCGGTGGGGGATACCGAGAGGAGGACCAAGCGTCGACACGATGGTTCGTCATCGTCTCAGCCCCAGGCTGTTATGCATCAGGCTCCAGACTTGCCGTTCGGATATTTGTTTGAGGATGACAGTGTTGCACATGAGAGGTTTGTGAAGTCATTCATGAGCCGAAAGATTTGCGAGTTGAAATCACTGGATTCAGCCTTCTTCAACTTGGAGCGTCAGGTTGAAGAATCACTGGATCCGTCCACGTCAGCGTCTGACGAATCACCTTGTGGAATAACACTTTCAGGTTCTCCCTCATCTTCGCTGTTCACATACTCCTCATCTTCATCCTCTTCATCCTCATCCAATGTTACTTGAGCATGTGCAAATGATCGTACAACTGTATCTTCTTGACCAGTACAGTGTGCAGTGGTTGTATGTACCGGTAAAGATGAAGACTGACCATCATCAACTTCAACATATATCTCAATCAATTTCAATACTTTCCATCCAACAAACGCATATGTTACGAACTCCACATCTTCATCATCATTGATAACGTTACCAATGTAGTATATTGTATCCATATCCACTACAGTCTCTAACCTGGCTATCATGCGGTGGATAGATTGGATGCCTTCTAAACCCATTTTTTTGGAGAATCCTCTCCTTCAGTTCATTGCATGTAGTGCCCACTTTGATTTTCATCGTTTTTGTTTTTCCTTCAAATCGGACACCGTTCGAACCTTCAAAATGCCTCCCATTGTAGTAAATAACTATAGGAACCATGTTTGGACTTGAACTCATCTTTCACACGAAAATTGGGTCTAGGTTTTGGGTTTGGATCTTGGTTCAGATTTTTGAGCACAAAATGGGAATGTGGAGGTGCAATGCCAATGTTCTGCCAAGATTAAGCCTTTTGAGATGATGAGATGAAATATATGTGTGATGATTCAGAATAGAGATGTCAAGGGAGAGAGATTTGGGAAAAAAAAACCTATAACTCGCATCAATGGCCGAAACCCATTGATATTGGGGTTTCTGGCCGAAATCTACCCGAGTAGCCCCCTCCCTACCCGAGTAAATAATTCAAGTATTTTTCTAGAATTATGAAATATACCCGGGTATCCCCTTCCTACCCGGGTATGGTAAAATTTTCCAAAAATACCCGAGTAGGGAGGGTGATACTCGGGTAGGCTTGATGGTCAACGGTCAAACATGGGCAGATTGGTGTTATGTTTTTTGGAGAGGTTAAATTTTTAAAATAGTTTATAATCAAGGGTAATTTGGTAATTAAATATTAATTAAGGGCTACAGTGGTCGAAAAGCCATGTCATGCTTTTTATTTTTAAAAAATAAGCTAAGCCAAACCTATAATATAATTTACGTCAATTAGCCCAAATTAGACTCCAAATATTCTACATTCATTTGACTTATTTAGACTAAAGTCTAATAGACTATCATAACCTATTTGTATCCTACGTATCGTCTTTACATTTTTATGTTGATAAATTTATTATTTTTATTAAATATCATATATCACATTGAATTAATTGATACTTCATGAAATATGACGCAAGATGAAATTTAAGAATTAAATAAGGGTGTCCAATAAATAGAGTACTTGATAGAGAAATATAATATAAAATATAAGATTATTAATATACTTTCACCTAATCGCTTAAGCTTTTTAGTTAAAATGGTTCTTTAATAGTATTAGAGCCACCTTGACAAAAAAAAGAAAAAAGAAAAAAACAAATCACGAGTTTCATCCTAATTACCTCTAAAGACAATCCTATCACTTTACAGGAAAAACTAAAGTCACTATTAAACAAATTGAATGAAATATATACTCCTATTTAGAGAGGCCGAACAACATATATGTATAATAATTTTTCAGATTCTCATTGCAATGTGATGGATCTGGGTGGATTGGGATTGTCTAATAAAAAGTTAGTATTTGTATTTGTAGATAGAAGACATATTTTAATGATAACAAAGTGGCAACACAAAAAGAGAACAACCTTCGTCAAGAGCAAAAGATATCAACCATGTGTGAAGATTAAAGATTTATATTGGAGCTATACAAGAAGAATGATGAGTCAACAAAGTAGCAAGAGCATGGATGAACCATGATGAAAGCTAGTAATGAATTAATAGCAACAAGGAATAATTAGAAAAGCAACACTAAGTTCAAAGGAAAGAAATCATGGACAACTTCTCAAAGAAGCTCAATATCACAACCATAGTGAAAAAGGATCAAAACCAACAAAGTGCTAAGTATTGACATATCCAACAAGTCAAAGCATCAAACTCAAGTAAATAATCAAGATCCAAGACATAATACATGAAGCTAAGTCCAAAATTTTATTTAAAACTATATCTCTAGGACTTAAACTCATATGTAACGGTATATGTTGAATTGCATTACATGAGTTCAAAGTGTTTTTCAAATTTTACTTATTTTCATACATGCATTATCCATGGCTTTAAATACTTGAATGAAATTTTAAAAAATCCATGGAAAATGTACTTGACATGTTTTATAACTTCAAAACATATTTATCAAATCAAGATCCTTCATAAAAAGTGGTCGGAAGCAAGTTGGAATGCCTTTAAACTCAAATTTGCTACATCATTGGTTGCTGTTAAGAAAGTATTCAAATACTTTCTTGATTGGTAATCAAATACTTCACTAGAGAAAAAGTATTTAATTACTTGATGAAGTAATCGATTACTTACTATCCAATAAGCATTCTAACATCTAGTTTTGTTCCAAAACTTATATATATTACTCATTGATTACTTCTCCAACCAAGTTTAGACACTATTGAATCATTCTTTGAGCCTTTCTTCATAAATTTCATTGATTATACACTTGAATAACACATATTTGATCCTTTGAGCTTATCTTGTCATAAATCATATAATCTTTGTGCTTCAATTTGTATTATCTACACTTTGAGAGTGTTTATTAAGTTCCAAGCACATTCCTTATTGTATTCTTGAGTTAAATGGCAGTGAGACCCTTAGTAATTGAGAGATAGTCTATCACCTAAGAAAGTTTGGAAAGAGTTATGAAGATTGCCAAGTACTCAAAAACTTGGTGGTTATAGCAGTTTATTAAGCACTCACTGAAGCTTGGTGGTATAGGGGAAAACTATTGAGTGATTTCAGTCTGGACATAGGTCACAATTGGTGGTGACCGAATTAGGATAAATTGAATTTGTATTTCTCTCAACCCTTACTTTTTATTTAGCACTTTAATTTCTACTTAAATATCTTGTATTTGCTAGAATATGTTCTATAATTGTGATACATAATATGTTATGGATTGATTAACTTTTCATATATCAAAGTTTACTTAAAATGATATTTTAAAAACAAGAAGGTGGCTTTTGCAAAAAAATATTTTTCATCCCCCTCTTGAGTATAAAAGCCACATTCCTAATAGTATCTTAGATCAGTATGCTTGAGATGGTCTATGGAAGAGATATCGCAAGGATAACAAATCATTGCGCATAATAACAGGGCCATATAATCGAAGGCATTGGATGTGTGTATAATAACAACTAAGAGAATAGAGAATTTAAGGTGTGTATCAAATAAACTTAACCCTTTATTTATAGAAAGAGTTACTTGTAGGTAAAATACCTGTTAGGAATTTACAAAAAAAAAAAAAAAGTACCTGTTAGGAATCAGAATTTTGGGGGACATTTAGTTACTCTAAGGCTTTGTTTGAGAGTTTAAAGGAGAAGGAAAGAAAAAAGAATTCAAAGGAGAATAAGGAGAAGGAAGGGAAGGGAAATAAAGGGTATTCCCTTCCCTTGTTTGAGAGTTAAAACCTCCCAAATTTGGAAAACTTTAATTTTAAGAAGAAGAAGGATTTTGGAGGATTTTGTGAAAATTCCTAAATCCTTCCTTTCACTTTTTTAAACTCACAAACAAGGAAAGAGATTAATAAAATCCTTCCCTTCCTAAAACTAACTCCCAAACAAGTCCTAAAGATTGTTGTCTAATTACCGTGTTATTAATTTCTCCTTTATTTATTTACTAGAAAATAACAAGAAAAAAAATAAAACTAGAAAAGAATATTTTCTTTTTATTTTTTTTGTAAACTAATAAAATGACTAATAATCTCTCTTTGAAAGTAATAGTCATTTTATTAGTTTAAAGTAAACTAATAAAATGATTATTACTTTAAAATGCAAGAAATATTCTAATGTAGTAATTTTATTTGGTACGAAAGTAAATAACAATTTTTTTGAGTGACGCAATCTTATTTATTCTTACATAAACTAATAATATTTTAGGAATGACGCAAAATTATCACTGCAATCTTATATATTTTTGCACAAACTACTAAATACATTTTTTTAAATGATCCAAAATATTTTATTCATATTTCAAATAATTAAAATTTTTTAACACGCAACTATCCTTTTCCAAAACGGTTTTGTTTACTTGTGTCCAAAATATGTTGATGCTTTTTCTGTGACAGTGTGACCACTATCACTCATGATTTACGATTAAGTTCATGGTACGACCTTACCACTAACATTACCCTTTCGATTTCCACTTGAATCCTCGTTCAAAGATTTTATTTAAACTATTAGTCATCGCATGTCAACACTCTCACACAAAAATCCTCTCTGTGCAGCGTTTGTTTGTTCTTCTAACTTCTCTCAGTTACTGTCTTGTTTTCCCAACCTCGAAATTCGTTAGTTCTTCTCTGTGTTGTGTTGGCCTTGTGGGTTTGTCTCAATCTTGTCTACCATAGTGTTCACTACTTGTGTATCTCACTTAAATGTAACTGCAATCTCCTCTACTTCTTCTTTGGTTTGCTTGCATCAGCTCTTGTTCCTTTATTATATAGCTCCTTGCAAAAAAATGTAATTTTGATTTTAGATTAAGTTACCCTTTTGAATTCTTATTAATGCCCAATTCCTCAAAAGTGTTCTGAACCAGTCCATTCATGGTTTCAGTCATGGAATCTCGTTAATCTTGGCCAGATATCCATCTGGGTCTAGTTGATGAACATAATTCTCAGTGCTTCTAAATTGTAGAAAATGCAGGTTGTGATGATGGGTTTTCGTTAATTTTGTCAGATTGCCCTCCATAGCTATACCTTCAGAACTGATATTTAATTAACCTCAGTTTGAGTGTGTGAAGTGTACCATGTAACTGGAATGCTACCAATCTGCTTCTATTGGGTTGTTTCTGGGAGTGAGTTTGGTCTCTCTGGATGGCATATGGAGGGCTTCTTCGGAATCCAGGGAAAGGGGTGGTTTTGGATCTAGGATTTGTCATGGCTGAACGCTAGTCTTCATTTTCAGCTCTGTGGAGAGTGTCTACTCTTCTTGTTAAAGTGAAAAAGAAAAGAAAAAACCAACTCTGATACTCTTTTGAGTTTCGTTTGGATATGTAATCCAAGTGCTTTTTGTTCAACTACTGACTCATTCTTTTGTGGTTCATAACAATATATTCAAAAACTCTTCATAAATTCTTTGAAATGTAAATTCTTCAACTGGATTCATTTATTCATTTTCTTCATCAAGGGCTTGATGCCCTCAACAATAAAAAAAATGAGGTATACCTTCTTCCTTCTTTCCAGTTTAGGATGATATGTAGGATTCTGCTCTCCCTGCCCGGAGTTGTATTGATGTTTTCATATATGCAGCTTTAGTCACTATTTTACCTCTAGAGCTCCCTTGAAGTGAGTCAGCATCTTCTAATTACATATTTTTCTTTTCCTATAAACCAAAACTAAAGATCAAAATTAATTCCTTGATATTCCAAGACTTTCATGGAAGAAACATTTGTTCCCTTCCGTGGGATTAAGAATGACCTCAAAGCCAGAATTATGTGCTACAAACAGGATTGGACCAGTGGATTCCAAGCTGGGGTCAGGTTTGTGATAAAAATATGCTGATTCTGATATTACAATTATAATCTGACTGGCTTCCTCAAGTTTTTAACCAAAAGTCCTTCCTCTTATCTCTCCTTAAATTTAATCATGCCTATTGCATACAAAGTTATAGATTTCCTTTTGAAACACCAGCAAGAAAATTTGTCAGTGATTTAATTTTGATGTTGTTTTATATAGGATCCTTGCCCCAACTACATACATATTTTTTGCTTCAGCAATTCCTGTTATTTCTTTTGGAGAGCAACTGGAGAGAGACACTGGTACAAGAATACTTTTCAGGTTCAGTCTCCTTTGGTATTTTAGTCATTGATTGCTCAGAAATGCTTCTTTGGTTATATTATACAGATGGAACTCTCACTGCTGTGCAGACTCTTGCATCAACCGCGCTCTGTGGTATTATCCATTCAATCATTGGAGGGCAGCCTCTCCTCATACTAGGTGTAGCTGAGCCAACAGTTCTTATGTATACATTCATGTATAACTTTGCAAAGGATCGAAAGGATTTGGGACACAAACTTTTCCTGCCCTGGACTGGATGGTATCTTTGGAGCTCCTTGAGTGGTTTAAATTGTACAAAAGGAATTACTGATGAACTGAAGTAACTTTCTCAATTTTTTTTATTTTTTATTTTAAATAATTTTTTAGGGTGTGTGTTTGGACTTCCCTGTTGCTCTTCTTGCTGGCAATTCTTGGTGCATGCTCCATAATCAACAGATTCACACGCCTTGCTGGTGAACTATTTGGTCTGCTAATTGCAATGCTCTTTATGCAGCAGGCTATAAAGGTGAGTATGCATCAACCATGACCATTTTTCTTTAGTAATCTGCAACTTGTATATGTGGCTACCAAATAGGAACCTTCCATTCACTATTACCTAAAATGAAACGTGTTTAATAATAAGGTTAATAATCTCCATTTTAAAGGGACTTGTGGAAGAGTTTGGTGTACCCAATACCCAGAGAGAAGGTACCAATCAGATTGCACTCCAATCCTCTTGGCTGTTTGGCAATGGAATGTTTGCTTTAGTTTTGTCATTTGGCCTTCTTTTTACTGGTCTACGAAGCCGCAAGGCTAGATCCTGGCGTTATGGGACAGGTATTGTTTATACTTCTGAATCATGATAAAAAAATTCATTAGGGAATTTGATTTGCTTCATAAGATAGACTTCAAGTTTGAGACGACATTAGAGAAACCAATTTCATGTCCTCTGGTGCAAGTTCTTCAGTCTGTTTCCATTTTTTCCCCAGTAATCTAATATTGTCCTTAATGCTTTCTTCTGGTTTGTTTTTGCAGTAAAATTGCTTGTCTTATCAACATTTTCATTCTTCTAAAATATAGTTGTATTATAGGTTGGCTACGGGGATTTGTAGCTGATTATGGAGTCCCATTAATGGTTCTCATATGGACTGCTGTTTCTTACATACCAGTCAACAAGGTTCCAAGGGGAATCCCTCGGCGACTTTTCAGTCCAAACCCATGGTCTCCTGGTGCATACTCAAATTGGACTGTTGTTAAGGTGATTGATTATATAATGCGGATACTATTCTCATAGTACTGAATGTATAATTTGATTAATTTCACTATATATTATGGATTATGGAAAGCCAATTCTAGCTTTGCTCCCTGCAAAGCAAGCATGGCTTGTTGCTCATTTTTTTATTTTTTATTTTTATTTTTACATTTTGCAGGAAATGTTAAATGTGCCCCCTTTATATATTATTGGAGCATTTATACCAGCAACTATGATTGCTGTGCTTTACTACTTTGATCACAGTGTTGCATCACAACTTGCACAGCAGAAGGAGTTCAATCTCAGAAAACCCTCATCGTATCATTATGACCTACTACTCTTGGGCTTTTTGGTACGTAATTTCTTTGAAATACTAGTAAATTCAATTGCAATACCAGTGAATGGTAATAGATAACATATTTCTACTACATCTACCAAATATTTCCTTTTAATTTGTTTTTCATTTTGCTGACCAGACCATGTTGTGTGGGCTTATTGGAATCCCTCCTTCCAATGGTGTGATTCCGCAATCTCCAATGCATACAAAGAGCTTGGCTACACTGAAACACCAGGTAATATCATTTTTTCTGACCTTTGAATACATTATATCTCAACTGTTAATCACAGATCCTTCTTTCCTGTTAATTTCTTTGTTTCATTTTGGTAGACAATTGTTTATTTTTCCAGATTTACCAGAACATAACCATCTTATATTCTGCTCAGGCTTCACTGAGATTTGTAATTGAATGATTATAGCTGTATTGAAAATTGTTTTTATTTCTTCTTCTTATCTGATTATGCATGCTACTAGTTGACAATTCTGTTTGGGTGGAAGAGTTTGGAGGGGAGGAGAGGAGAGGGGTTTGTTTTTTATTTTTTAAATTAATAGAATTATAAAACGTTTATAAAAATGAATAAGGAGTGATCGGAAGGTTACATGATAATATCTTATTTTATTGTTATCATTTTAAAAAATTCTCAAATATGACTTGTTGCCATGTATAGACATTGTTATCACCCATTTTGTTAAGTCTTGTCTATATATAGCTAAGCTAATTGATTATCATGGATATTTGTTTTGTTTGAAATAGCTCTTACGGAATAAGCTTGTATCTACTGCACGAAAAAGCATGCGGAAAAATCTGAACCTGAGTCAGTTATACCAAAGTATGAAAGAAGCATATGATGAAATGCAAACTCCATTGGTTCACCAAATGCCACCTACCTTGGTAAATGTAATCCTATGATTTCCAATTGATTTGAAATTTGTGATCTTCTCTCTTCTTTATCCTTGATTTTATTTATCAAGCAGGGGCTGAAAGAGCTGAAGGAATCTACCATTCAACTGGCTTCAAGTCATGGATACATTGACGCCCCAGTTGATGAGATTGTCTTTGATGTGAATAAGGATGTTGATGACCTTTTGCCAGTTGAAGTTAAAGAGCAGCGCCTCAGCAATCTACTGCAGGCATTGATGGTTGGGGCTTGTGTAGCTGCTATGCCTCTATTGAAGAAGATACCAACTGCAGTGCTTTGGGGTTACTTTGCCTTCATGGCAATTGAAAGCTTGCCTGGAAATCAGTTCTGGGAGAGAATATTGTATCTTTTCACTGCTCCGAGTCGAAGATACAAGTATACCTATGCTCATAGTCAATTTTATCATTGGCATAGTTCTAGGACTCAAGGACCAAAATTTCCTTCCTCTGTCTGCATCCTAATTATAGTGCATCAACAGCATGCATCATGTCATTTTTTTCTCAGTTTGGGAATTCCACTATTTGTTTAGTTATTTTTTTCTTAGTCAAGAATTGTGGATGTTAAGTTATTAACTGATTTCAACTGTGCATATGCATGATCCATGTTGACAATAACATATGCTTGTGTGTGCTCGCATGCACATTCAGCATTAGCATTCCATTTTAAGAGGCTGCTGAAGTTGTTGATGATGACCCTTTTTTCTTTCCTATTTTCTAGACTGCTGGAGAAATACCATGCCACCTTTGTTGAGACCGTACCCTTCAAAACAGTTGCCATGTTTACCTTGTTCCAGACAGCTTACTTGCTCCTCTGCTTTGGCATAACCTGGATCCCACTTGCTGGGGTCCTTTTCCCATTGTTAATCATGCTTCTTGTCCCTGTGCGGCAATATTTTCTTTCTAAGGTTTTCAAAGGAGCCCATCTTCAAGAGTTGGACGCAGCAGCATATGAGGAAGCACCTGCCATTGCTTTCAACATGTCCTTTGATGTAAGTAGTTTGAACCATTATCAAATTAGTACAAAAATGGTATAGTCTTGTATCACATATATCTGTCAAAGCTCTTGTTCACAGTTTAATGTCCATAACCTGGCAGGATCCAAATAACCAGGCAACAAGAATTAATATCAGTGGTGGGGAAATTCTTGATGAAATTATTACAAGGAGTCGTGGAGAGATTCGTCGCACACAAAGCCCCAAAACAAGTAGTTCAACTCCAACTTCATTCGGAGATATAAGACCTGCTAATAGTCCACACATATCAAGAAGGGTTCCCAGCCCTAGAGTAACTGAATTGAGGGGGGAATGCAGCCTAGCAGCAACTGGGAAGGATATCAATGGTTCACCATCAACCTAAAAATGTATCTTGATAATCGATTATAGTAGTAAATGATGCTCTAGAGGTCTTGAACTTGATTTTGTGACATAAGGTCATCTTCTCAATGTCTCTCTTTTCTTCTTTTTAACCTTTTACCATAGTTTGTTGTTTGACTGAATGGGCAGGGATATTTTCATGTTGATGGAAAAATGTTATGTTAGTAATGTTGCTATCTTGAATTTTAGTTTTTTGTAGTTTACGTGATATATATATATATATATATATATATATATATATATATATATAAGGTAGGATCCTTTGACACCAGTGTCAAATTTGACACCTCATCTGAGAGCCATTAGATCAAAAAAGATCAGCGATTCTGATTTGTAAGCATGTGACATCATTGATTTTATTTTATCTAACGGCTCTCAGATGAGGTGTCAAACTTCAAATTTGACACTAGTGTCAAAAAATCCTATCTCTCTCTCTCTCTCTCTCTCTCTCTCTCTCTCTCTCTCTCTCTCTATATATATATATATATATATATATATATATATATATATATATATATATAAATTAAAGAAGCTACAGTCCTTGGCTAAACAAAGCTTTGCATTCATAAATGTATTGTTGGCCACAAACTTTGCCCTTCTGCTGATTTATTGACAAATTTGCTGCATATGATATCAGTGATAAGGATATTTTGTTCTCTAGTAAAGATGGAACATGTGGGGCCACACGACAAGTACAGAGCAATTGTGATTTGTTGGTGCATGGTTTCAAGCACAACATTTATCCATTCTTTGAATGTATCTATGGGAAGAAATAGCTGTCACTTTGATGTTTACATGCACATGCATTGGGTCATTTGTATATTAATCTATGCAAAAAAGTTTCCCCGGAGAAGTACTGATTTCAATGTAGTGACGTTGAAGACATACTCAAGGCCATAATATGATTGTTTAAGTTAGGCGTTTGGTTTTACTGGTTGGAGAGAACAAAAAGTCTTGACCAGGATGAGTTTGCGAGCCAACTGAACCTCTGGTCCTACATCTTTCATCTCAAGGAAAAGCCTTTTCCTATTAAGCACTAAGCAATCCTTTCAAAGCTTTTTAGACAGACTTGCATCTCCTTCTGCTTTTCAATAATGGCTTGATGATAGTAAGTGAAGATTTGAAAGGAGCACTCACTTTTATCTGCACGCCTTGTCCCATATGGTTAGAGATCATATAGGTTCATAACAATTATTAGCTAGTGAACTGAACCATAGACAATATTAATCTCTTTTGTCTTCCTGTATTCTAGTCATTTCAAACAGATATTGATTATCCTCCAACTAACTAGATATTCCATAAATCAATTTTACGATGATGTTTAAATAAAAAATCAGTTCTTAAACTTCAACCTTACATTGTTGATTTTGATACGATAATATCATTACATCTCTATCAGCTGGTTGTTTTGAACTTGACCTTTCCGTTCTAACCAAAATGAGTCCGTCTAACCAAAATAATTCTTTTTGCATTTCTCTTTTGTGAAGCATTTACTGTTCTTATTTTGTGTCTGTTGTCATTCTTGTTCAACTATTTTTTTTATATTTCTTTAAAATTCCTTTTTTAATCATACTAATATCTGTTACTGTTCTTCATTTTATTTAAGGATAGTTTATTCTGACTACTCTTATTTTGCCTACCTCTCTTAACACCGTTACATTACAATCTCACCCAATGATGGAGATTTGTGGAATAAAATAAACCATTTTCCCCTTTCTTTTTCCTTACTACCTCTCACACTCTTTCTCTCTATAGATTTGCGTAATTTACAATCTGAATTTATATTTGAATCTAAATTCAATCAATGATTAATGGCATTATGATTTTGCTCGATGAATATAATTTCAAAATTCTTTGAATCTGATATAATTGATCATGGCAAAAACCACAAAAATACAAAAAAAACGAAGACTCCCTTACTTTGAATTAACCCATATATATATATATATATATATATATATATATATATATATATATATATAGGGGTTACATTTTCTCATGCAACATGAGATGAGCTTTTCTCCTACACACACAATCAAGTAGGCCCACTAGTTTAAATAAAAAAGAAAAATGAAAGAAAATATTAACACGGAAATCGAGCTCTCACTAACATGAGAGATGACTATTCTTACAACATGAGATTTATTTATCCCATATATATGTATATATATCCTTTGACACCAGTGTCAAATTTTAATTTTGACACTTGAGCTGAGAGCCATTAGATCACAAAAAATCAATGGTGTCATATGCTTACGAATCAGAGTCGTTGATCTTTTGTGATCTAACGGCTCTCAGATGAGGTGTCAAATTTCAAATTTGACACTGGTGTCAAAGGATCCTACCTCATATATATATATATATATATATATATATATATATATATATATATATATTGGGAAAAATATTTCTACAGTCACCTTATATAAGGTTGTCTACAGCTACTCTTTTTAACTAAGTATGACCGGTCATACTTAGTTATAACAATAAAACTGTTCTTTTTTTCTCTTTCCTCAGACACTATCGGCTAACGTGGCGGAGAGAGAAAATGCAATATATATATATGTGTGTGTGTGTGTGTGTGATTTATCGTTTCTCATGCTTGAACTAATTTTAACTCCGGCTACTAAATCATAACCGTACAGAGATGAATCAATGGTGATAAAGGAAGAGAGAAAAAAAAGAGAAATATGTATGTATATATATTAAGGGTTCGCTTTTTCTGCAGTTACTGTAGATAAGTTATCTGCAGTAAGCCCAATACGACGTCGTTTCGGGGCGGAAATCATGGTGTTTTTATAATTTTAATTTATTTCAGGGTTATTATAGTCTTTATAATTATAATTTTTTAATATTTCAATCCAAAACGATGTCGTTTTGGAAATAAATGCAGATAACTTATCTGCAGTAACTCTGCAGAAATATTTTTCTGATATATTAAAGAATTAATGTTTCTCATATCTTCTACACACATGAAATATGTGGGGTCCATTTGAAGAGAAAAAAAATAATCTCGTATATTAAAGACAGTGATAATGTAAAAAGAATTATAAAAAATTGAGAGTTTGATGGTAATAATTCTATTATCATGGATTCATATAATATTTTCTTCATAAATTATAGACGGTGAAAATTTAGGTATGTGAATTTTAATTATGATTTGCCAGTTGATCTTAAATGTTATTCATTACTTTTTACCTTGGAATCAATTATCATTCCCTCTACAAATTTATGTGCTATATCGGAGTACCTGAAAAACAGTTGCAGTTTTCAGTGACCAAAAGATTCTCACTTTCGTCTCAACTTCCATCACTTTCTCTTAAAATTTGGGATTCTAACAATATAAATTAAAAAAATTTAATTGCAATGTGAGAATTAAAAAATAATGGTTTTATTAACTGATAGAAATAGAATAGATACTTGAATAAATTTAAAATTTAAAAATAAAGGTAATTAACTTACTATTATTGAAAGGGATGAGATTCATTTTATGACTTATATATAATCAAATTAATGATAACTAAATTTTGAATTCAATTAAAGTTCTTATAAATTAAAATAATATAAAAAATAGATTTATTTAATTGATGATACAACTTATTAAGTATGAATTTGGAACATAAAAAATTTAAATGTGACTAAACTGCATTTACCAAAAAAAAAAAAAACTTACATGTACTGCAGTTTATATAATATATTTGAAAAGTTGGATACCAAAAAAAATATATATATATTTGAAAAGTTATACACAATATCTCAGTTGATGCATTGGAGTTGAGCGGGCGGAAAAATATTATGGTTTGATTCCTATCAATGTCAGGTTGGAAATGGGGCATAAGATCTTAATCCTTGACTCGTTCTACACTCGAGATTAGTTCGGGAGAGTCTCCTTATCTCAAAAAAATAATTAGGGTTGTTATAAAATGTCGACTTAGTTGCTCACGGAGAGCGTTATGATTTTAGAACTAACGTTTGTAGACTTTGTAAAAATGGCATATTTGCTTGGAGATGCTATAAAAGGTTGTTTCAATGAATGGGATGAGGATTCATGTCACTGGTGAGGACCCATCTACTTAGATAAGAAACATAACTTAGTGGAATGCAGACAATGTTTTCACTCTCTGATATGGACTAGCCTCCAAAACTACACAGCAGAAACTGAATACACTGAAATAAGGAGAATATTACTCTCATGAGAATTTTTATCTTATACATCCACAAATTAAAGATGGACTTTATATTTTTTCTCTCCTTTCTCCTTTAAATTGTGAGTGGATAAGACAAAAAATTTCTCAGATAACATTAGAGCAGTATTCTCCGTACCGTTGGAAATAAAATTATAATCCACAAAGTGTGCTTCCTTAATTTGGAGAGAAAGCAAAAGCCCAAGCCCATTTCTCAACGAATTAAGGATGGTTGTGAAAAAATGCCGTGAGTTGAACTTCATTGCTACTAATAGCAGTTCGATCCCCAACGAAAATAAATAAAAGGCGTTTTCTTTTTCATTAAGAGAAAATATTAATTAAATAAAAAATAAATATTTATTATCTTAAAAGTTTAAAAGTGATTTTTTTTAAATAATTAAAAATGCTTAATAATATATATAAAAAAAATGCTAATTTTAATTCTTTACCCGTGTGGATACATGTTAACAAAATCCATAAATAAAATACAAAACACAAAATCACCTCAAATCAAACCAAGAAAAAAAAATAAATAACGCTGTGTTATCCTAAAACATCATCAATGATATATATATATATATATATATATATATATATATATATATATATATATATATATATATATATATATATATATATATATGGCTTTTTGACCCTTTTTCCCCTAATTAAATAATTAATAACCAATTTGCCCCTCTCCCAGAACTATCCACCATCCTGCCCCCATTTAGTCGATTAAGTTGCACTTTTAATCGACTAAATGGGCTAAACTCAAAAATCATGAAACGCGAATTTTAGTCGACTAAAAACTCACCTTAATCGACTACATTGTTTGCATTTTTAGTCGACTAAGCACATTATTTAGTCGACTAAATATCGCGAAAAACCCTATATCCAGACCTCTCTTGGTCTCATTTTCATTATATTCGAATGTAAAACT